TGAGCATATTTCAAATGATTTTCAGGTTTCATTAGTTACGTCGGTTATGTTCCTCATTGCTTAATTTGAAATGTTTATTATCACCAAAATGTGTGATTGTGAAGTTTTTTTGAAACCCTTGTAACTTTCATAAAGAAGCAGTTATCGTAACAAATAAAAAAAGAAAACGTACGTAATAAACGTAGCTCGATGATTGAATGAAAAATTACAGGATATACCAGCATAACCACTCCAGAGATTGTTTAAAAATTGAAGTAAAAATGCACTTTTTTTGTCACTCTGTATAATTTGAAGATGTGCCTCATTTCTCAAAATCTCAAAATTGTGTGTGATTCTTTATGAATTTACCTACGGAATAAAGGAAAAATTGAACGAATCAGACATGAATTAACGAAGTTATCGTTGATCAAGTTTTATCTATATTTTGAGTGGATCGATTATTTTGCCGGTGAGTGTATTATTTCTTGAGTATTTCCGAAACTCCATGTGATAAAAAAATGCAATTTGGTACAAGAACTAAACTTTCTATGCCCAATGCAGTGAAAATACAATCATTCCAAGATTTCAATCAGGAGTGTATAATACAGGGTGGGACTACATTAAATATTGCTCAAAATTTTTTGTATGCATATTTTTCGACAATTTGATCTCGGATTTTGAAATCTCGCACTTCTTGACGATCAGATATTATGCATACCATTGCAATGAGGCGTAGTGGATATGGAAAAAAATGCACAAAAATGGAAGTCGTTTTTTCAACATCATTTTTCTATTTTTCGCGCTTTTATTAGATTGTTCGGTAAAAAGAAAGTAGTTGATTTTTTTTAGCCACTATGATTCGGAATTTGGCTACGTTATGCATAAGATGTGAGTGTATCAAGATTTTCGAATCGATTCCACTCGAAAATGAATCATCTGATCGATGCGGAACAAGAGCACCTTTTTTTGTGAAACGGTGTGGTTTTTCATAATCCGAGATTAAATTATCAAAAAATATACATACAATTTTCAATTCAGAATTTCTTTCCACGTCCTGTATGATGAATATCAATTTGTCATACATCCAAAAAAATTAGGATGTAGTTCATATTTCTTATCAAACTTTTTGTAACTGATGATCAACAGCTTTACGAAAATCATATATAACATTTTCGGGATAGAATTCATAAACTCACTGATATAAATTGAATGACAAGAGATCGATGAATTATTATGATCTTATTTCTTACGAGTTCATCTGGCAACTGTGTAAGAATGTACCTCTGTTATTTTGTCTGACGTAGACTTGAGACAGAGCCGGATTAGTTTCAGTTATTCAGTGTGTACAGTACTTATTTGGTTCGACATTCATTGACTGATTTGTATACAGTGTTTTCAAAATGAATGATTTGGTGTCAAGATAAAGAACAAATTCCAGGAATTTCTTACTTCAGGTGAATCTATGTCGTCGACAAGCTTTGTGCTATTATACAGGGTGTCCAGAGATAAATCCGACGAAACTTGGGGTTCTACGGACTACCGATATGATTGAAAAATGCCATATACAAATGTCCAAAACCGCTTCATTACTGACATACAGAGTGATTTGTGAATTTTGACAAACATTCAATCTGCCATATTAAATACAGGGATTACCCGATTGGGTTCAAATTTGTAACACGAATTGAACCTTCTGAACAAAACCGATAACAGACCAGGAATATATTTGTTTTCCTATGTTGAGTTCTTGTGAGAATAACTCACCCTGCATAATAAATATCGAAAATTCGAGGTCATATTATGAATCTACGGGAAAAATACTATAGGACCTCGTTGAGGAAGTTTCTGGCACAATTTCAGTTGTTCCATAATTTTTTTTTCACTAATTGTCTGATAAAATTGCGTAAATGGAAATATAATAAATATTTACGTAACCAAGGCATGATTGTTGTTATTGTCTTTGATTACATCGTCAAAATATTTTATGAATTACTCTCATAACCTAAAAAACTGAAGAATAAATTCGTATCAGAGGTGGAATGAGTCTTTTTTATGTTCTTGTAAGTATAACTGACCTAGTATAACAATCATCATTCATCTGATCGTAGATTCGAAATAACTGAAAAAATTATATAGGAACATGTATTGTAATATTAGTAAAAGTTTTTCTTCGAATTCTTTTTTTCTAATGATTATTACAAAAAGTTAATGTCCGTTGTGTTCATGGATTCGGGAATTCCTTACCAATATGAAGTTAGATTTGAGGTATTTGTTGATAATATCCTGAGAAATTTTGAGTTTATTGATCAGATAGTGCTGTTCCAAAGAAAATTTGTTTGTTTCTTCATATACACTCAGTTCCAAAGAAAGTGACGCACTCAATATTTGACCTATCTTCTTAAAAGAAAATAGTAGGCCGATTTTTTTTTGTTTGTCGGTAGGTAATGCATTTGTCTTAAAAAAATAAAGAGGTGAAATTTTTTTCAAAGCCTCCTTGATAGTGGTGGAATAACTCGAACCATGATTTATTCTTAATTTTTGGCTCACCCTGTGTGTTAATTGAGTAATGGTATACAAAGTGCTTGCACCCTATACGAAAGAGGCTTCTATTGCGAGCATTTTGTTTTTTCATTCATTGATTTATATCTAAAATTTTCATAATTACGGCTTTTTTGCTGATACCTTACGCTTATCCCACAAATTAAATTTATTGAAGGATCAGAGTACTCAAAATTGATTGGGTTGTACTCTGGTAGGATCACATTGTTTTTAAAAAAACAAATGCCGTTGCCATAGCAACTAATTTGTTGTATGCCTCCATATTTGACCATTTGTCGTTGTGTCATTAATTAAGTGTCTTGTTTTATTGAATAAAATTACATAAAATGCCTCAAATAAATCATGAACAAGTAGCAAGATTAGTTGCGTTAGTAAACGATGGGCGTAGTAAACGTTACGCCGCTCGTGCAGTGGGAGTTCATGAAGCAACTGCTCGTAGAGCAATCTGCAAGTACGAACAAACAGGAAGCACCGCTCGGAGGGTCGGTTCTTGTCGCCCCCGAAAAACTTCTCCAAGAGATGATCGCTTCTTGAGATTGCGGATTTTACGGAATCGATCAAATACTGCGGTAAATGTTCAGCAAGATCTTCGCCAAATTCGTGATGTTGCAGTAAGTAAGCAGACGGTATATAGACGTCTAAAATAAGTTAATTTAAAAACTAGGAGACCTGCAAAAGGTTCCAAATTATTGCCCGAACATCGTGCTGCTAGAAGAAATTTTGTTGAAAATTATGGATAGTGGAATTCCTGAATGGTCGTTCGTCTTGTTTACGGATGAGTCAAGGTTTTGCCTTATCATGGTGGATGGAAGAGAGTGGAGAAGAACTGGTGAACGGTTTAATCAAAATTTAATAACAGAATGCGAAAGTTTTAATGGTGGGTCCGTTATGGTGTGGGGAGGGATTTCAATGAATGGAAAGACATCCCGTCATGTTTTTCCGGTGAGGCAATCGATGAATGCCCAAATTTACATTGAAATTTCAGAGCAGTATGTCTAACCTTATGCAGAGTTAGTGGGCAAAATTTTATATTGATGCAGGATAATGCCCGACCACACACCGCAGCAATATTGCGAAACTTCTTAGAAGCTACTGGTATCACCACATTATAATGGCCTGCGAGAAGCCCCGATATGAATCCTATAGAACATTCGTGGGATGAATTAGGGAGAAGGGTACTTTCTCGCGAGAGGTCTCCGGAAAGTCTCGCAGAAATGGCAGATGCATTAGTGGAAGAATGGGATCGTATACCAATGGAAACGATAAGCAACTTAATTTCCAGTATGCCTCGTAGATTAGAAGTTCTTAGAGTTGCTAGAGGAGGCAATACACGGTATCAAGCAGTCATTCCAATTTATAATTTTGTGTTTAATAAAAATGTTTTTTGAAATTATTGGTATCAGTTTATTTCATTAGAAAATTGTTACTCGATAAATTCAGAAAGTTGGTAATCTGCAAGGATTCAGCATAAAAAGCTGTAAGTCGGAAAATTTTAGTGATAAATCAATGAATAAAAAAACAAAATGCTCGCAAAAGAAGCCTCTTTCGTATAGGGTGCAAGCACTGTCTATGCCATTACTCAATTAACACACAGGGTGAGTCAAAAATTAAGAATAAATCATGGTTCGAGTTATTCCACCACCATCAAGGAGGATTTGGAAAAAATTTCACCTCTTTATTTTTTTTTAAACAAATGCATTACCTACCAACAAATAAAAAAAAATAAAAATCGGCCTACTATTTTTTTTAAGAAGATATGTCAAATATCAAGTCCGTCACTTTTTTTGGAACTGAGTGTAGTTGATTCTATGGATACAAATCAAGATGTTGAAGTGCTAATCCATTTCGAGGAACAGGAACCATATTGTTGAAGCTATTGTACATTCTACATACTATTCTCAGAAAGTATGTTTAGATGGATTATCAAGAGTTCACTGAAAACTTCTCTAAAATACTATGAAATTTCAAAAATTTATTATGGTCATGTTTATCATCACTGATATTCAAGATAATTATTCGCCAAGACAAAAATGATGCGTATTCATAATTGAAGGGCAAGTGGAACAAGGAGTTATGTTAGTAAACCTAGCTGACATTTTTTATTAGAGGCTAGTTTAATAATTTGATTTATACAATTGTGAGGAATAGTTTAAGGCTGATTTGGCTATCATCATTTTTTGATAGAAATCTAGATTTATGCATACATAGCCACTTCTTCCATTTCCTGACTTGTAGGCAATGGGCACATAGCTCCTTCTTCCATTGCGTAATTAGTTTTTAATGTAACATAGCCCCTTCTACCTCTGTGTATCTGCTCAGGTATGAAGGATAGAAACAAATCCTGACGGGGCAAGTTACATATGCACATAACACCTTCTTCCATGACATAACCGAATATTTTCGGAAAATGTTCCTTAACCCCTTTTTCCACTTGCCTCTTCAATTAGTAATGTTTGTTGCAGGTGTACCACAACCAACACACAATATGGCACCACAGAACCAAGGGATGCCCCAACAAGGGCAGATGCACAATCAGGTGATGCCTAATCAGGTAATGCCTCATCCGGGCATGCCGCAGCAAGGGCAAATGGCCCCGCATCTGCCGCAAGGTGGCGCCCCTCCTACTAGCCCTCAAGCTCAGCAAAATGGAGAGGCGAGAACTGCGGAACTGATCAGTTTCGATTGAGGCAATGATATGTCGAGGCGAGGTCGATATTTCGTATGTATGTATGTATCAAACTTGATTTAATGTATACTTCTTGTTCTTTGATAGACTTCTGAACTGCTATTGGATTTTTTACATTAAACAATTACACTATGTTGTTACGCACCTCAAAAGACTTTTCATACCATTTACATGTGTTTTTGTTGTAAATTATGAGCCAAGGTGCTGTGCAAAGTTGTTAAAAATCACAGCCTGATTCGAACAGACCATGCAATATCGCCAACCGACATCAATGTTGATGACGTCAGTTGTTGATAATGCTACGCCAACCTCCATGTTTCGTCTTGATTAGTCATTTCATCAGGCATCTATCTATAAATACATTGGTTTACACTTTTCCACTAATCAGATAATCAAATTACAAATATCATTCCACATGAAGTAACCAATGTTAAAATAGAGTATCAAATTTTTGAAATAATTCGGCCGTTACTTGATGGAAATCCATGGCGAATGTAAAAACTTCACAAACGATAAGATTTCCACAAAATTCTCAAACACATGACATGTTTCGCTAACACAGTAGCTTCGTCAGGTGATATACTGGTACAATGAACTAAACTAACGTTGGCTTGCTTAACTTTTATATATCCTACTTTCCCAACCTGAAGGATTAGTTGACTGTGGACAGGTACGATAAACCTCCATTTTCGGAAATTAGGCACAATATCTACATTAAAAGGCATCTTAGGTATACCGGATTAACTTGAAAGAGTTGATAGCAAATACATATTATTACTTACTAAGAAAACATGTTCAACAGTGGTGAACTGTTGAGGTCTAATTGATCATTAAGTTAAATGTCAAAATTTTGACTTTGTTGATTTCTAATGATTCAAAATGATTGAGTTTCAGTCCTTCATTTTCTACGTGTAGAATTTCGAAATTATTATCAAAACTATGGTTTTCTTCTAATATATGGTTAGCGTATGTTGAATTTGTTTTCTTTTTCATAAAATTCATCTTATGTTCATGAATGCGAGCCAACGTTAGTTTAGTTCATTGTACCAGTATATCACCTGATGAAGCTACTGTGTTAGCGAAACATGTCGTGTGTTTGAGAATTTTGTTGAAATCTTATCGTTTGTGAAGTTTTTACATAAAGTATCAATACTGCCAATACATAATTATACATAATTTCTCAATACCCAAACATATAAATGGAAACGGCAGCGTCTGGCGTATTGCATATTACCTCTGCAGTTCACCAATGTCAGCAGAATGGTCAAGGAGCCGAAACTATTTCTTCGAATTATCATTCTGAACTGAACTCTCAGCCTCATAAAAACTTCAACATAGGAAACTCTCTCATTATCATTCGAAATATCCTTAGTACAGGGTGATTGACTATGGATTTCTCGACTTCAACAGCTGATATCTCGAAAAAGAAAAAAGATATTTGAAATTTGGAAAAGATTACTTGAATGAGATGTCATTTCCTTCTGGAAAATGTGTTCTCTGCTTGATTTTATCATTTCATATACAGGGTTCGTGAAAAAAAATTTTTTTTTCAAATAGAACCCCCTGTATTTTATCGCATATTTCGAAAGAGCTATCTTTCCTGATTTCAAAGATATATACTTTTCATATATTCTATCGAGGGCTTGACGAAATATCAGCAAAATTAAATATTAATATTTGGTCCAAGTTAGCTATGGTTGAAATAGAATGAGATGATGAATAAGTGAATTGACATTTGGCCAACATTCCAGTGACATAAGTGCGCAAAATTTCGACAATCTTCTCACGATGCCATATTCATTGGAACAAAGAAGAGATATTTTGGAGTGCTATTTTTCAGTTAATGAAAATCTTGCTGAAACACACTTATACTTACTTATATTTAATCTCTCAGATATGACAAGACAAAATTCAATCCGCTTCTCATTATCATCATAATTGAGTTTGTGGCATGGTCTAATTCTGAAATCCCTATATTTATATTTCTTTAAGGTATGTTGAACAAAATATTAGCTGAAACCGAACTCTCTCACTGCATTTCTTATTGACCGTGAAGGATCCTCAACAAAATACTGGATTACAAGAAGTTCCTCGTCTTCGTTGTCTTGCCTTCAAACTATTTTCTTGATATTCGACAAACTGGAAGTTCTGTCAAATTTAGCAGTCAAATTCTTTACATAATTCTTACTTGGTAATCTCCTGCCTGGATAACTCCTCATAAACTTATGAAGTGTTTCAGCAAGATTTTTATTAACTGAAAAATAGCACTCCAAAATATCTCTTCTTTGTTTCAGTGGATATGGCATCGTGAAAAAATTATCGAAATTTTGCGCACTTACTGAAATGTTGACCAAATGTCAATTCACTTATTCATCATCTCATTCTATTCCAACCATAGCTATAACTTGGACTAAATATTAATATTTAATTTTGCTGATATTTCGTCAAGCACTCGATAGAATATATAAAAAGTATATATCTTCGAAATCAGGAAAGATAGCTCTTTCGAAATATGCGATAATATACAGGGGGTTCCATTTGAAAAAAAATTTTTTTTTCACATACCCTGTATATGAAATGATAAAATCAAGCAGAGAACACATTTTCCAGAAGGAAATGACATCTCATTCAAGTAACTTTTTCCAAATTTCAAATATCTTTTTTCGTTTTCGAGATATCAGCTGTTGAAGTCGAGAAATCCATAGTCAATCACCCTGTACAGTGCTCGATAATCCGAACGTTCAATAATCCGAATTCTTCAGTAGTCCGACCAAGCATTATTAATACATTGAGTACTCTATAATCCGAATTTCATAGTACTCGATAATCCGAACCTATACCTTTAGCCTTTAGGCCTATTTATTTCCTATAGAAATTGTGAGTGAAATGTTCAGGGATTCCCCTAATTGTTCTTTTGTTAGTATCTGGGATTCACATTACGCAAGGAAGAAAATAATATTCCGTTAAATGATATTCTTGTACTTCAAAGATTAAAAGAAATGGCCTTCATAAATAATCAAAGATGTGTTAAGCAAACAAAAATTACAAATTACTTTAGAAACAAGTATTATATTCTTACTTTTATGCATATTTTAGTGTTACTTTTTCGTATACATGTTTTTTTTTTTGCATTTCGTAATAAAAAATATAAAAAAAAACTGCTTCGGTAATCCGAATTTTCTGGTAATACGAATCGCCTTGGTTTTTATAAGTTCGGATTATCGAGTCTGCACTGTAGTATACTGAACATTGCCAACCATTTTTTCAAAACTTAGGCATTATGACCTTATACTCACAAATTGTCTATGAAAATCTCTATAAATTTACCACACACTCAGGCATTTATGATCATAACAGATATAAGCATAACATCGTACCTCATAGGAGATTAGAAAAGAGCAAATCCATAGGAATATCTCTTTTCAATTCTCTTCCCACAGATATTAGAGACCTGCCGTTACATCGTTCAAAAAAAACGTTGAGAAAGATTCTTGTCGAAATGAGTCTCTACAAAATCAACCACTTCACTGAGTTGATCAGTGACTCTTGTAGACAACTATGTTAATTTCAATTCTAATTTCAATTGATTTTATCACTTGTACTTTTTTTGTTTGTAACTTTTCTGTTTCTTCGCACCACGTGTCCATAACCTGTATACCATGGATGTAATATATTCTATTCTATTCTATTCACAAGTCAACAATTGAAAGGAATGCACATTTTCATCCCTTGGAAGAATGGCAAAATATCAATGCATTTCATGAGAGGCCAATGAATATCCATTGGCAACTGTGCTCTGCACTGTCTAACCACAAAGCTACATACAAGATGCGAAGCGATGTAGCCACACGTTTCACACTGATTTATGAATGTTCATAGCCAGACAATTCCTGTTATTTCCAGATGTACTTTGACATTGTTCTGAAATTGTTCTAACCGTCATTCGGTTTCCCCCTTACGAGCAACTCTCAGAAGTCTTCGAGAGTCTTGTGCGAGCAAGGAATGGCGGGGGCCTTACCTTTTAACGTGTGATCCCAAACAATTTCTTGGGTCATCCGAAAAATGTCTGCAGTCATTTGGATTCGCACCCACGACCTGCAAGTCATCTCGATTTGAAAACTGAATGCTTCTACCACGCAGTTACCTTGGTCCCACATTAGCAGCTATGTGTTTCACTCATTCACTCATTGAGTCTTATCGTCAGTAGTTAATTTCTACCGTTTCAATGAGACTGTGACCTCTTCATTTGTGGTTTTGAGGGCTTAATGAAACCATTCAGAAAATATTGAAAAAGGATAAAATTGAAAGCATTAGAGTAAAGATTTGGAATAAAAAAGATAGAATGAATTTTAAAAATCAGTTCACTAGCCCATTGTGTGATAATCAAGTCCCTGATAGCATGAATATTTGAGAAATCGCAAAATAGAGTTGACAGTCGATGATTCGCAGTAGCCAAGTTTTCATGTCATCGCAACGTCAGATAATGACCTTGGCAGATTCTGTCATATGTACCAAAAATATGATGAATCTACAGACTATACACCACAGTCATTTTTTATGTGAAGATTTTGAGACTGCTTGAATACGTAAAAGTACCCAACAAACTACCAATAATATTTATAAATGGCTCAACACTAGTTTCGGCAAATAAGTTTCCATCTTCTGTAGTCGTGACAAGTAGATAAAGATAATTGAATATGGGGTTACATTCGCGAAATTTTTGCAAATCGCCCTCAGAAAATTAACAGAAAAAATGGCGTTTATACTTATACCTAATAATTTTATTTTCGCTAGGTATTAAGGCATTCTTTGATTTTTGGACCCACATATTCGGCAAATGATTGAGTCATATATTTTTCAATTACTTTGTCTTAGAAATCATCTCACTCACGTCTGACAGACGATAACCAAATAATAATTTTCTAACAACACACATTTTAATGCATTCATTGCATCTTTTTTTTGCGAATACACAATAAAGTTCAACTCATTGGGCTTATTTGTGGAATTTTTCAGTCGCTATTATATCCACATATGTATAAGCATGAACATACATTCCTTGAGAGGCGGAAGCCTGCTCAAACAGATTTTTCTTTCGAATTTCAAACGGACACAAATGAAAGCCTGACTAAAATTGTGCCAAAACGCATAGGTTGTGTGAATAAACGGAAACCCATATAGATTCACTGGATGGTATTAGTTAGATAAGAGTTCAGACACAAAACTGACAACTGAGTGTGTTTTTGAATGTTCATATTTATTAAGTTACACACCTTGCATTGTGACAAGAGAACCACAGTGGTCCCGCGCTTTTTCATTCAGCTTTGTTTAAATTTGACAATATTAAAATGTCCTGCTGTGTAGTGAATTGTGGGAATTATGAAGAGAATGGATTTCATTCATTCAATTTTCAAATAAACGGCCGGGATGAAAAATTAATTTGAAGACAAGCAAAATTCGTGAGGTACATACCTTATAATAGCAGATTAGAATGAAACTATTCTTTAGGCTCATTTTCAAACAGAAGATTTTAATATTCGTTTGAAAAAATCTGCTGTTCCATCCATTTACAAAACAGACTGAAGAAAAATCCATTATTATCAATCACAGTACAAAATGCAAACAAAATTTTCATGCAGAAAGAGAAAAGAGGAAATCAAGTAAATTGCAATGTGATATATCATTGAATGGCGTTTTCCATACCAACCGAACTTCTTGGAAATGTCATATTATTTGCCAGAATACATATTAAAATTTCTAAATAGTCCTTGTGATTTAATTCCTATGAAACTGATTGTATATTATAATTTTTTTGTTGCAGAAAATATACAAATTAAGGTGGAAGTGGGTCGTATATTCCATCTATCATGTAGATCTATATGATAGTGAATATTTGAAATTTTCATGTGAATACTAGAGTCACTGAATGGTATTTTAGTTTGATAAGAGTCCGGACACAGCTGAACTTTTGTCCTTTTCTATTTTCTATAATACAATGGTTTGAGTGAATAAAAGAATAAGACATATATTCTGCTCTTTGTATCTTCAATTTCCCTAGTAGCGCCTGATTGTCAGATACGATTTTAGAGGTTATATCTTCTGTCAAATCAATCATAGCCGTAGATGGACAATGGATATAGGGTACGAACACCCACTTCAATTTATAGTGAAACACTTCTAGCAGAACAACTGCTATATAAATGAAAAGGAAGCATGTACCAACATTTTAATATTAGAAAATATACACATATGGATAAACGTATAGCTATAATTCCTTATTGCATGTCAAAGTGTACTCCAGTGATAAGTATAAAACATGAAGTTATTTATATTAAATCAAAGGTACGTATTCTCAATATACAGGAAGTAACATGAGTAAGTTCTAGTGAAGTATTCCTGAGACAATTTTAAGAAATAAAGTCTTTATAAGCTTGTGTCCGGAAATGCTTCATTTCGAAGATACAGGGTGTTGAAATACAGAGAACAAATCATTCTTCGATAAACATTTCATAGAAAAAAAGTAGTTTATTTTGACGAAACCCACCAAATACTTTTTTTTGTATAGTTCTCAGCAACTTCACTTAACGATAGGATCGATATAGAAAATATCTCCAAAACGATAACCTCCAGCGTAATTGAGGCCCTTATTATAATTCCCTTGATGCATAAATAACTATTCACTTTTGAATTTTGAATTTGATCGGCGCCAAGAACGCCATTCAATAATATATCACGTTGTAGTTTCCTTGCTTTTCTTAGTTTTGTTTTCAAATTTTCAATTTCATTATGTAAATTTACGATCATTTCCTCTTTCCATGATTATTTTGTTCTGTATTTTGTGTGATGATAATAATGAAATGTTTTTCTTGAAATCGTCTGCTTTGTAAATTGATGGAACAGCAGATTCTCTCGAACAGATTTTAAAATCTCTGTTTGAAACTGGGCCTAAAATATAGTTTCATTCTAATCAGATGCTGTTATAAGAAGTGAATTTCAATGAGTACCTCACAAATTTCGCTCATTTTCAAATTGATTTTCCACGCAGTCCGTTTCACATCTTCCTTCCATAAGCGAATGGTTGATATTTGTTTTGGAAAATTGAATAAATGATATCCATTTTTTCAGAATTGGCACAATTTATCACACAGCAAGTGATTTCCATAGCTGCTTTTTCCTCGAAAGTATGAATATGGAATTTTATTCCAATTCTGACGTTCATAAAATTTATTGTCAAATTAAAACAATTTTGAATGAAAAAGCGCGGGACGACTATGGAGCTCTTGTCACAATGCAGGGTGTGTAACTTGATAAATCTAAACATCCAGTGACTCTAGTGAATACTATCTTTGTACAGCTTACATACATACAGCTTTTGATTAGATATTGTCTAAAAACGAGTTGTTTATGGTCTCACGATATGTTTCTCATGAGAAAATTGCCAATTTATTCAGTTTATCCAAATTACATTATTATGGTATTAGAGGAATGAGATATACATATTTAAACATACTTGCTTAATATTTTGAATGTGGTAACACAAAATTTATTATATTTTCATTTGAAAGAGAGCAACTAACTTTTATTAGGATTATTCAAATACTTTTTTCCACAGGAAATGGATTATCCACTGTAATTTACCATTTGGTTCCCAGCAGTTATCCGGAACTTCACAAAAATTAATCCAATATTTTAATGTGAAAAAGCTTAAAATTATGTTAAAGCTCACTTTGCATTCTTTACATTTATTCAGCTATATTTGTTACAAACATATATGTTTCTTGGCATAAATAAACGTTATTATTGTTATCTAGCTTTTTGTTGTTCTGAAGTAGAATTTGTTATGTCGTTTCTATAGATTATGAATAAATTATGGAGAATTTTTCAATGAAAAACGATATTTATCATATCTACATGAAGATACTGAAAGGTTGGTAGATTATTCACATAAAAGGTTGTCTCGATCAGAAAACGCGGTTAAAGGAAACAAAAATTGATGGAGACTTTCGGGAGCGTTTCGTGCGTTCCAAAAGATAAAAATAAAATGAAACATCGTTAACAATGGTGATAAGATAATTTCGAAAACTGTTTACTGATAATAATCAAGATGTTGTTGATGTAGTAATTCATTTTGAGGACTAAGAGCCATATTGAAGAAGCTACTGTATTTGTACCATTTCCAGAAAGTATACAGTGTGACCAAGAGGAGATACGAATTTCACCCAATTCGGGGAAAAAAGTTATGCTTTCTGAGGTCAATGTGTTCATAGTGTTTCAGTTATATGGAAAAAAAGTTAATTCTTAGAAAATATATTTTATTATTTCCCCGTTATTATTAGAGATACAGAAAACCAAAAATACTCTTCCATAGCAACTTTTTATGATATTTAGCGTCTACGCGATGTTTCGTATTCGTAGAACCATGATCAACTTTTTTGTCAAATACCGTCCTGATTATGTGTTTACATATTCTGATAGCCTTTTTCATTCTGAATTGAACCATGTATTACTTGAAGTGGTTTGAATGTGTTTAAACCTAGTTTTAGCCATCTTCAATGTTTTTTTGAAATTCAATACCATCGGTTCCACTAATTTCTGATCATTCAGTGTCAAACATTGATGGAGTAGTTATTTGAAACTGAAAAAACGAATACATAATTAATCATCCTGTATACGTATCAATGACATACATGACATACATAAAAAATGAAATATAAGTTTTATGCCAATATATTTGTAGTAGTGAAGATTATTTAGAAACTTAAAATGTCTGCGTTGAAATAATACCTATTACACGAATTACCTTGATAACTAAACTTATTCTACAGTCTCTCAGCCAGCGCAATCGCCAGCGGTGTCTAGCTGTATATTATGTTTTGGTCATATGTTAAAAACTTTGTGTTTAACGCAAATGACTGATAACGCAGAAAAACTAAGGGATAGTGTTATCGAGGCTTTCAATAGTATCACCCCAGAAATGCATAGAAATGTCTTAGAAGCAACTGTAGAAAGAGGATAATAATATATTTGTTCAAAACATAATGGTTATAACTTTTAACATTTGCTTTGAATGTTATTTTTATCAATCACTGTTTGTGTTGTCAAAGTTAAGTTAGCAAGGTAAATCGTGTAAGAATCCATTAACATGAAACAATTTGAAGTGCTGCTTTCAATAGTTCAGTGTAATATATTTTTATTACTTCTGACTATTGAATGGCTACATCAATGATTAACACGGAATGATCAGAAATAAGTGGAACTGATGGTATATTTCCTCTTTGGAATTTCGAAAAATCATTGATAATGGTTAAAACTAGGTCGAAACACATTCAAACCACCATGTATAATCCATGGTAGAATTCAGAATGAAAAAAGCTCACAGAATATGTGAACACATAATCAGGACCGTATTTGAGAAAAAACAGTTGACGGTTCTACGAAGAACTCAATATCACCACGTCTAATCTCAACTGATGGTATTTTCTCTATGGAATTTCGAAAAATCATTGATAATGACTAATACTAGGTCGAAACACATTCAAGCCACCTTGTATAATACATGGTTGAGTTCAGAATGAAAAAAGCTCTCAGAATATGTGTACATAATCAAGACCTTATTTAAAAAAAAAATTTTTCGATGTAACTGAAAAACTTGAACAATTTAGAACATTTTCGGAGGCCGTTAATGTGAAAGGGTAGTTTTTTCCCACTTAACCGAATTCGTATCTTTTCCCATTTATGATATCCCCATTCCCCATGCTGTACATCTTGGTCACGCTGTATTATATGGATTACCTACCGAGAATTTCCCAAAAAAGTTGATGCAAATGAGGAAGTAGATTGCTTACTTTTGAATCACTATCATTCCTACAATGCAGAACGGCCCTATTACTCGTTGGTATCAACAAAGACATAAAGGAACAGTTCTGAACCGTTGTTTCTGGCAGATGATAATGAAAACTTCATGACATTGCTATAATTAACCGAAGCTTTGGCATTATTGTGATTTTACACAGTTCAGAAGCTCATGATTTTCTAATAGTGTCTGTGGTCATGAATATAGTGACTGAATAAAAGAAAGCTCTACGACCATTAGTTGCTTTATTCACATAACGAATTATTCATATTTTGTGAGTGAACAAATCATTCTTTTGCACCACATTTCAAGCCATCTGGACTCACAGCCATGTAACAAAATACTCCACCTCCTGGAATTTGTTTTGCTGAGATGTATGCCCTTCCGTCAGGTGATTTATGATGCAGTATTGGACTCACTGGCCCCACTCTAGGTAAGTATGGAATCTGAAAATTGGTTGAATTGAATTGCCTAGACTTTCACGCACTTATCAAATAAACCAATCAGGACCCCCTAGTCAAGTTCGGATTATGGATATAACACCGAATATGAATGTTGAATCTGATTGGCCTGTCGAGTTGGTATTTTCAGATTTGTGTATGTAACAGTCAAATGTCATATATACAAGTATTATTTCGATATGTGTAGTAGGACAAATCCGATGATTTTTCCCAAAATGTCACTGCATTTAACAAATTTTTCTATCAGGAACCGTAAAAAATCCAATAGCTTGTCAGTGACACTTATTTGTTTTGAAAACTTTTTGAAGAGAAGGAATAGAAATATATTGAAAACATCGAATTTTTACTTATCTTTAGACGTTTCGGAAACGAATCTGCTTCCGTTCTCAACATCCTGTAACTCATTTGTATACTAACATCATCACTCATCCATATGCCAACATCAGTATGCCACTGAGAGGTGTCAAACTATAAGAAAAACATTTTCGAAGAAACATAATTTGCATTTACATGTTGAGAACGGGAGCAGAAGCGGTCCCGAAACGTCCAAAGATAAGTAAAAATTCTATATTTTTTCAAATATATCTATATTTCTTTTCTTCAAACATTTTTCTAAACAAAGTGTCATTGACAAGCTATTAGATTTTTCTTTTAGGCTCCCTGATAGAAAATTTTTTTAAACGCAGTGACATTTCGGGGCAAATCATCTGATTTGTCCTACTACACATATAATATTGAAATAATACTCATATCATTTTATAGAAACACGAAGAGAAAATCCTAAATAATCAAGTAAAATGAATGAACCACATCCTCGATTAACCTACAGACATTACAAGTAATAACGTTGTGAACGCATTTAAACATAAACAGATTTGGGATGAATAAGCTCAAGCCCAAAGCATTGTATATAATTACTGTGAATTATAATAATTGAACAATGTTTGGGTATGTCATAATATTACTGGTTAAATCAAGTACGTATTTCGTTCGATGTCAATTCAATGTTTCCTGTTGAATTTTATTCTGCCAAATTTGAGATTTTTACCTTTCACTTTGTTTGTGAAATAGTCTCATTAGTCTCATTAGCCTTTCATTTCTAAACAGAACACTGCATGATACGTGGTGTTTTCTCGAAGCAATTAGGATTCGTGCAGAAATAATCGACTTATTGCGAAAATTCAATCACTACTGACAACAAAAAACCACAGAACTCATAACCTTTATACCTCACGACTAGAAAGCGCGATCCTATGATTTCGTACAAAATTTCTAAAAAAAAAACATGGGCATTGAAATATGGGTCAAATTATACTAATCTCAGACGTTAATTCAGGAGAGGAGAAGAACTACTGAAACGCAGGTATACATTTTCATCGGTTTGTTTATACAACAACATGTTGCCAGTTTTATTAGCTGCCACTTGTTACTACTTGTCATTGAATTTGTTTACAAAAAGTCAAAAATATTATGATAGATCTTTGGTAATATCAATCCATAGAACGGCTAGGCTCTGGAATTCATTGCCTGTGGAAGTATTCCCAACAACATATAATCTCCAAAAGTTCAAAAAAAAATCCAATACCTACCTCCTGTCCATATCCTCCCTAGGAACGCACGATGTTCATTGAACATTATAGGGAATCCCTTTCGTGCGCTCCAAGCTATAAAAAAAAATTATACTTGGTAATTGTGATGAAATGATATGTTCAAGACTGCATAACTCCTTGTTGAACATGAGGAAGAAGTAAAAAAGCGAAGTATAAGTACCTATCTAAAATACTTCTGATGCCTATCTGTACCTATCACATAAGATGTACTCGAGGTTTCTTGAACACAATTACAAAGAATGGTCTTGGGATACAGTCAAACTTGGAATGGCAATCATCTGAACATCTGTTTGATTCATTTTACACAGAGGATGGTTTTCTTCTGACCAAATTCAGAGTGAGATTTGATGCCTAACTCAAAACCCAGTTTGTATCTTGATTCTCGCTTTCAGTGGAAGCTGTTGAAAACACTGTCCCCGAATTTACAGATGTTGTAATAACATTGTCTTCACATGGTAAATTATTTGTTTTTGATCCATCAGGAGTGGATTCTAAGAGCACTTCGAGAATGAGATCAGTCTAAGGTAAAGATCGTTCGATTTGGGGTACAATTGTTTGTTCTCTATCAGTGATTTGTGGTACCTTCAATGAGATACCCTATATTTTTCAGCCTAATCAAATCATCCTTTCCAGGATCCAGCACAATGAAAAATGAAGTGGAGCAAGGTTATTAAAATGTGAATTCTACAAACAGTTGAATGACATATTTTACATAAGTTTATATTGGCATATAGCCTTTCAGTCTCTATTTGAAGTGGAAGAATACTTATTCAAACCATGAACTATGATAATTGAATATGTTATAAAATGTGCAAAAATAATATGAGAGGTGCTTGTTTCGAATATATCATATATTTGTGCAGTGAATTCCTTTCTCAAAAACTAAGATCAGACATGTAGAATACAGAAAAATGAGCGGCATATTTATTTAGTTATATCATCTATAGTTTACATACCGGGTGGCTACGGAAGTATTGCCTACGGAATATCTCAGTTATTGTATGAAGTAGGTTTGTGAAATTTGGAGCGTCGATATAATGACATAAGAGCTAGAATTTGAGCATATTGACATGTCGAAGTTAACTTCCGGTCTGACCGGAAGTAACATCAACTTTCTTATTTTAAATGGAAACCCTATTTTTTTTCTTTTCGCTTTATTCAGCATTCAATTCCCTTTCTAATGACATATCACGAGTTGGTATCTAACCAGAAACTAGATCAGAAAAAATTATTATTGAAATTCACCGAGTAGGCCGTGGAAGCAAAAAGAAAGCCAAAAATTGAAAAGTTGGCTATGGAAACCATACGTCACTTGATAACAGTTGTTACTACTGTGATATTTTATTTTCATTCGTCGGCGTTATAAAAAGCCGCCAAAAAAAATATTGCCACGAATTTAAACGCCGCTACTGTTTATAGTTCACTTACAGGCAGTGTTGTAGCTGATGCATGATTTGTTCGTTCGTCATATTGGATACTCATTCTAGTCGTAAGATATAAAGGTTATGCAAAAAACATGAAGAAACTGAATAGAGAATGATGTATCTCAGTTTTTGAAAATTTGTACTATACATAACTTTCATAAAGTCACCTCCCCCCCTCCCTTGTAAAGAGATTTGTGAAGCTACAGCAGTTATTTTGTGACAGCTATAATATTAGTGTATTGTAAAAGTTGCAATATACAGGATGTTCCTTAATGACATGCTAATATTCAAGGGAGCGATTCTTGGACCCATTTCAAGAATAAAACTCCATATGAACGTATGTCGTGAACATCCTAAAATTTGAGATACAGGGTATCAAAGTTGAACATATATATAGATTCTTTTTTTGTCCACCCTGTATAGCTTTTCCTGATTGCAAAATTTAATCTACTATGTGACTGAAATGGTGCAAAAATTTCAAAATGTTACATACTGTGGTTATCCAGTAGTAGCTGTTCTGAATGGAGTACTGCTCAAGCTTAGCATTTACATCAAAATTTGAAGTTTGATCTCGTTTTTTCGTTTTTTCTCGAAAATGGAGCGTCTTATCGGGAATCAAAAAGAGGATCTTATTTGTACAAAATTGAACGACTTTTTATAGCATTTTATTAGATTTGGAAATATTCCTTCGTTGCTCACTTTCAAGTATAATATAATCAATCATATCCCCCTAACGGCGCCACTGGTAGAGAAAAGGAACATTTGTGTACATGAAAAAATGCACCTTGATGCATAGAAGATATGTACCAAATTTCATAAAGATGACTACAATATTATTCCAGTTATCATTAATAACTGTTTTTTCCGCAAATCGCTAGGAAATTTTGACATTCCTGTCAGAATTTCTTGAAGAAAAAGTCAGGACTTCCTTACTGTAAGGAAATGATATTTCCGTACAGTTCTTAGTGTTCTACATAAATGATTGAAAACACATTGCTTATTATTATTATTTTCGTACTTTTCTCTTGATTTCTTTGGCAATAATTCTAATGAAGCAGTATTCACTGCCTCAACCAGCTCTGGAGGAGTCCCAGGAATGGAAATTTCATCATCACTTATCATTTTACTTTCGAGAACACCAGCAATTAAATTTATAAGCGTCAAGTTTGACAATTCAACCTCAATACGTTTCCATAGTAACCCAAGTAATTTTATCAGGAATTTCAAAGCACCATTTATTTGGGAATAAAATTATCGCGTTTTTTTTTTTAATCAATCAATACCTGTCGAATTTTAAACGATTTGCGGAAAAATAGTATGTTTACCTCGTAGGAAAAGCCACATTCCTGGACTCTGTGTTGCTAAGTCTCGACTTGCGCCTCGACTAGCAATCTTCACAGTCGCCCAGGAATGTTAAGCTTTTCCTACCCGGTAAACAATGTACTATTTTTCAAAACTTCATCACATCTAAAAAGTTAAGACTTTTAGGACATACGTTATTGGGAAGTTTTTTCCTTGAAATGAGTTGATGAATCACCCCCTTGAATATTAGGATGTCTTCAAGGAACACCCTGTATATAGCGTATTCGGAACTATCAATTTGATGTGAGTAGCAGATGAGCAAAATTGAAATATACAACAAGAATATTGAGTCAAGTAAACTATGTTTTAACTAGAAAGTGGTTAATTCAATTTTTGCAGCAAAATGCATTTATCATCGTGGAACGCACCCAATACAAATCATTGTGTTGATATCACAGATGGGTTAATTCGACATTATGTGGATATTTATTTATTTTATTTATTTATTTATTAAACAAATAACTTCCAGACAGAATAGGCTCTGGTATAAGAAAGTACATAATTATATACCTATAGGTAAACATATCATTATTCAAAATATGTCAACAACTATAAATTGGCAAACAAAGAATAATATTTGGAAAAAAAAAGAAAAAAAGGAATAAAAATGTCATGATTAATTTTATCCAGTTCGCACAAAAATAATCAGTTTTTTCACTTCATTTTTGAATGTACCTATATTTCTGCAATTTTTTATATTGTCAGGTAGTTTTTTCACTTCATTTTTGAATGTACCTATATTTCTGCAATTTTTTAATTTGCCAGGTAGTTTATTGAATTCAGTTAAGGCTGAATGAGTGAATCTTTCAGAATTGAATGCTGATCCTTAAGGGCGATAATCCTTGGATGATTTCAAAGAGAAAAGTTCATATCAACATAATATGTCCTAAACCTCTTAGTTATTGAGCTACAGGGTGATGAAATTTCAAGAAAAAATGAGTTTTTCATCATAATTTTTTATCACTCTTAGATATTGTTATGATATTTTTTCTACAAACGTCAAAAAATGACAAGGTTCGCGCATTGATGACAAATTGCGAAGTGACACTTTTTTTCAGTTTCCTACGTTACAATGATACCTTGCACAAAACAATGCGCGAAGTAAAACAGTGCGCGAAGTACCTACTTCGCGCACTGTTATGTAAAATATATGAGATATTTATATTTCAACTTAATGGTCCACAATCGAGCAAACATCCACGAAATCATTTATTACTGAATGTTCAATAAATAACTTCGTTTCATCTCTTGGAGCGCACGAATGGAAATTCCTATTATGTTCGTGGAACTTCGTTCGTACCTAGGGAGGATAGGGGGAGGCCATTAAAGCCTGTTCAACACTATTTTTTATATCAAGCTGAGCATATCTCCACTTTAGAACAATATTTTTTGAGGTTTGTAGAAAAAATGTTGTTTGCAACTCGAGCGCGAAATACTTTGGTCATCTCGACTATTTTTTCAACTCGGCTACGCCTCGTTAAAAAAATCAGATCTCGATCACCAAAGTAGCATTTCGCGCTCTAGATACAAAAATAACTATTGTATACACCTTTTCATTATTTAGGAGCATTTTTTTACGTGGAAGATATTTAAAAATTCTCACCAGTGGCGTCCGTACGGGGTTTGAACTGACAATTTTTGAAGAAAAAATAGTACGCCACTGATTTTTCTGAGAACCAGATTTTTTTTTTTCAATTCTTATTAATTTTGAACCAAAGAATTTTGTTCCTTCAGTTCTTGGATATTGTTCCAAGGATCATCGCCCTTTAGGATCAGCATTCAATTATGAAACACCCTGTATATTTCATCTAAAGAATACGTTTTTGTTATTTCAAACAATTGATTGGTTGGTGTATCAAATGGGAGACGATACAATACTTTTAACGATTTTCTATATAATGTGGATATTTTATTGAAATTATTTTTTGAACAAGATCCCCAAACATTTATTAAATAGGTAGTTGATACGACTCAGTATATGAGAGTAGAGAATCATGTTTGCAATTTCAATATCAAGTTTGGGACATCTTCTCAATGCACCAATAATTGGAGATATTTTTTTTTGTCAAAACATCAATATGTTTGTCCCACTTCAACCTGTCATCAAACCAAATACCAAGATATCTGGTCAGTTTTAAGAGTGTATTTTTTATTTCAAGGTTGAGGTAATTTTTTTGTTTATTTTTCTGGTGAAAAATCATATATTCTGTTTTGTTAGTATTTATCGATAAAAGGTTAGAGTGGAGCCATTTTTCAAATATTTTCAAGTCTTCATTTATCATATTTTCTAAATTTGAAGGATTCTTGCCTTCATATAAAAGTACTGTATCATCTGCATACATGGTATATTTACTCGTGAGACCAATTTCACTGATATTTTGAACATGAAGTAAATATAGTATAGGTCCTAAAACAATAGCCTTGTAGGACACCCTTATTGATTAATAGTTTATTTGACACAGGAATGAAACAGAGGTAATGTCTCGGGTAATGTGCAAATTTTCTAGATCGTTGCAGGAAAATTATGAAACTTACCTGCTGTGCCATAAGATTTCCCAGGCATTCAGAGAGCGTAGACAGTTTGCTCGTTTCTGGCGGTGGTGTTACAAAAGGTCCATGGAGAAAATTGTGGCGAACTTGTATTCTCAATAGTTGCGCGTATTCGTTTTTCAGTTTACACGCCTCCAAATCATCGTCAGACAAACTCGCTAGTTTTCTACACCACTCAACGCATCTTACTCTATCTGCAATGAACATGAATCATCCTCTTATTTCAACTACAGTTAATCTTCGAATCCAACTCTATTTTGAGAGGGACCTCTTTTAGCAAAAATGTAGATATTGTATTTACAACTTTTTTGTCTATTCATCAGTTGCAGAAAAAAATCGCACAAAAAAATCAAACAAAGATATTTTGCCAAACCTTATACCGATCTGGAATGGTGGATAGACGGAGTATCAGCAAAAAGCTGTTTTTCAACTCAACCCCATATATATACAGGGTGTAAATTTGAAAACTTCCAATGCGAATATCTCGCGAAAGAAAAAAGTTTGAAAAACGCCTTTTGGCAAAAATGCTTGAGAGTTAAGGGGAACTAGAACCACCATATTTCGGTCAAGGGATGAGTCACCCCGTCGGCGCGACACACTCCAACTTTGAAATGTCAAATGGCACTATCTTTTTTGTGATGCCTCAAATGAACAGTCTCAGTCAGTAGTATTCACCTGTACAAGACTTTTTTCCACCCACTATAGGGTGTACAAAAAATATAAAGTCGAATAAAATAAAATGAATTGTGTTAAAAGGATATTTTATTTGATCAGATGTTCAAAATGCATTCCATTCTGTTGTAAGCAATAGTATAATCGATGTTCAAATGCCATTCTAACATTTTGGAACACATCTCTTGGAATATATCGGCATTCTGCATTTTATTTTATTCGACTTTATGTTTTCCGTTCACCCTGTAGTGGGTGGAAAATAAGTCTTGTACAGGTGAATACAACTGACTGAGACCGTTCATTTGAGGTATCACAAAAAAGGTAGTGCCATTTGACATTTCAAAGATGGAGTGTGTCGCGCCGACGGGGTGACTCATCCCTTTACTGAAGTATGGTGGTTCTAGTTCCCCCTAACTCTGTAGCATTTGTGCCAAACGGCGTTTTCCTAACTGTTTTATTTAGCGAGATATTCGCATTGAAAGTTTTCAAATTTAGACCCTCGAATTAATGTTTTTCGTACACCCTGTAGTGGGTGGAAAAAAAATCTTGTACAGGTGAATACTACTGACTGAGACCGTTCATTTGAGGTATCACAAAAGAGGTAGTGCCATTTGACATTTCAAAGTTGGGGTGTGTTGCGCTGACAGGGTGACTCATCCCTTCACTGAAATATGGTGGTTCTAGTTCCCCTCAACTCTTTAGCATTTTTTCCAAGCGGCGTTTTTCTAACTTTTTTATTTCGCGAGATATTCGCATTGAAAGTTTTCAAATTTACACCCTGTATTTTTTTCCATCTCCTTGAACATCGCGCGAACTTAGAGAGGATATGGAGATTGGAGAGGAGGTATCCCAGTTAACACAGATTGATCCCAGAGGTTTTTATTCATTTTATTTATTCATTTTATTTATTCATTTTTAAAATAACAAACATATCAGCGTACTATATTAATAATAATATACATTTTTTTTAATATAAACATGATCAAAAAAGTTGAAAACTCGTCCATGGTCATGTAATCTTCTTATCCTTCCACTGACTAACTAAAATTCATTTTTTTATTATCTAAAAATAACTATAAAAAACATATGTTGCATAAGTATATATTTTATCATATGATCAAATTTCCAAAATTTATGAATTCTCAATCTTTAATTTTTTTCTTGAATCCAAAAAAACTGATTTTTTTCAAAGAAGGCAATTTATTGTAATTTTTTCTACCTATGTTGCTGCATTAAGGTTGAAGACATTTCTCAGTTGATATCCAACCATCAATTTTATTTTTGGTGTCATATTTATGTTTTACATAATTATAGTTTTGTAAATGTTTTCTTATGTATATTTTTGATGTTTTATAAAACAATTGATCAACAGAAAGATTGTTATAATGTTCAAAGAGGATTTTGGAAGAATTATCAAAAGGTTTTTTGAAGATAATTTTCAAAGATATTAGAGGGCATCACATTCATGCCACACATCACATCCGTGACTCGAATTGTGAGTCCCACTGAAATCACAATGACTGCTATTTCGGACCCATTTGGTCATTTCATGATTCACATTATGATGCCAAATGAAACTAACAGGGGGTATGTTTTGAGCGACTCCTTATCCAACATCAGAATTGATTAATTCAGTTTGTTACATAAATTGACAAGAATGTGAGGTTCCAGTGAGTCTCTTAGTTGTTGGGGAGCCTCACAAATTCACCTACATTTTAGGTTTCTAATCCTATAAAAGGTGATGAATATTGCGAATGTGTTGTGAAATAAAGAGTCCCCTGGCAATACCAATGATTTCTTATTAATTCGCATTCTTACCTAGCGAGACATGAATGTGACATCCCAGGGATGTTTGTGTTTACAGGATAGGTGTTGGAATGTTTTTTTGAACTTTTGGAGAAGCTTCGAAATTCTATAGACGAACGGGTTTTGGTAGAGTGTTGTTCGACATTTTTCAAGGTTAACGACGAAGGGATCTGCTGACTGGGCCTATCGAGTTCGTCTGACTGGTATTGCTAGTGATGGAATTACAGTAGATATTTCTGAGGAACATTTCCCGTGGAAGTATCTATATATAGGTGCGTTCCTCTGGGTTCCCACTGGTGCCAGTAGAATTGACGACCAATAAAACGATGTGATTCATTTTGAGAGCTGTGACATACAGCCGATCTTTTTTAGGTTATATAATAATAATATAATTCCGGGATCTTGCTGTTCATCCGTACATAATTATAGTTATAATTTATAATGGATGTTTTTCCCGCTTTCTTGTTACCCTCCTTAGTAGGTGCATCGCTTAGAAGGCAAAATACATTGATATTATTCAATGAAATTGCCCCCTTAGTTCTTGAAAGGATTTAATTAATCTTTTGATGTTATCTACAGGAATAATAATTGACTAAATGTATAGTAATACTAGATTTTCTAACGATATCATGCAAAAAATTCGAAATTATTATGAAGAAGTAATACCGCAAATGGATTTATCAACATTCAAAAGGCATTTCAGAATAAGTCCAGAAGTGTTTGAAAGTATTCTGGGTAGAATTGCGAACAATTCCAAATGGGAGTTCAAGTCAAATTCTGAGGTTAGAGAATCTGAAATACCGCCATTTCCGACATTTCATACACCTTGAGCTGCGACACATACAAATAAATGGAGGTCACATTAACCATTATATATTCCTTGTCATTTTTAATGTTGGTCGTCAAAGTTTGACATCCTTTGAGCATATTCAATGCTTTTCTTGAATGTGTCCGCCTTCTATTTTTTGAACGAGTCAACCGATAAAATTGAAACTTGGGCTAATGAAATTGATACATGTATATTTTGGATTAAAATTGACAGACGAAAAATTTCAAAATGGCGACTGGGCGCCATCTGAAGAAAAAATTTAAACGGAAAGAGGGGTCTTGTGACTCATTCTTTCGAAAGCCAAATTAGAAACATTTGGATGATACCTACTTTCCGTGGTCGTTGGATTGGCCGTCGAGGTCCTTCGGAATGGCCAGCCCGCTCGCCAGATTTGACACTTTTATTTTTTTCATAGGGCTATTTGAGACAAAAGGTAATCGAGACTGCACCTGCTTCAATATTGGATATACGACAGAGAATGATAAATTTTTGTAGAAATATCGACGTAACTGTGTTCGAAAGTATTCGGCGTGAAATATCGAATAGGGTTTCCTAATGTCAAGAAGTTCAAGGCAATCACTCCGATCATCTTCTGAAATGAACTCAGCTCATTTCCTGAAATTATGTAGTTGAAAGTCGATGTATTCAGGCAATTATTAAATGTCCGCTATTTTGTAGTAGGTGAAGTCGGGACTTTATATTCTAGGGTTGTGAAGTATTCGTCAGTAGCTTCAAAAACTGAAATTTTCATCTGTCAATGTTGCTTTATTCATGCATCAATTTCATTACCCCGTTTCAATTTTTTCAGTTGACCCGTTTAAAAAAAATGGGGGGGGGTCATTAAAGGAAAGCACTGTACGATCATTGAGTAAGGAGCTCAATTCAAAACTTAACTGAATTCAAAATTAGTACTCACTCACCTCTCCCCTGCCTACCACAGTGGGGTGTCGCGTCAATTGGACGTGGAAAATTGGACGCACGACTATTGGTCGCAGTTAATTGGACGCGGCGACAATTGGACGCGGTGACAATTGGACGCGGCGATAATTGGACGCGGCGACTATTGGACGTGGCGACAATTGGACGCATGAGAAAATAAAAATAATTTATTGTATAGAATATGCAATACAGGGCTTATATCTATAATTATAACAAATACCTATGGCCTCGTTTGACAACGTTCCTATCTGATATCGTTATATTGTTCTAAAATTGTTCTAAAATTGTTCTATCCGTCATTCGGTTGCCCCCTTACGAGCAACCCTCAGAAGTCTTCGAAAGACTTGTGCGAGCAATGAATTACGAATATAGTACAATATTTTACCTACTACCAAAAACGCTAATCATTTAATCAAAAGTCTACATCATGTATTTTTCTTATTTTGACAAACCTCTGTTTTTATTATTAAATATGTAGGTTAGGTTAGGTTAGGTATTTGTTATAATTATAGATATGAACCATGTATTGTATATTTTATACAATGAATTTCATGGGGAATAATAAAATCATTTCTATTTTCGCATGCGCTCAATTGTCGCCGCGTCCAATTGTCGCGGCGTCCAATTGTCGCCGCGTCCAATTGTCGCGGCGTCCAATTGTCGCAGCGTCCAATTGTCACGGCGTCCAATTGTCGCCGCGACCAATTATCCGCGTCCAATTTTCGTGCGTCCAATTGACCGCGTCCAATTGTCGGTAATCCCCACAGTGGCTTGATAGGTCTTTTTGTGGAGAAATCAACAATCATTTTGGATTATGTTCTGATGCCCCATAAAATTTCAATGAAAATGTTCATATTAGAAATAATTATAGTGCTTGATTTGTTATACTAGGCTTACGGAATCATACTTTTCTAATTAATTTTATAAAACGAGTCATTTCAGTGATTTTGTTTATCTCTTGGAGTGCAGGAAAGGAAATATCTATAGTATTCGTAGAACATCGTGCGTACCTAGGTAGCTATATATATCTTAGTACCTATATAGGAAGGATATAGGTAGAAGATCTAGGTAGGTCCTGGAATTGTAGCAACTGATTAATATGGTTATCTCAGGGGGAGACATCTAGAAAGTCAGTGGCGTAGGTACTCAAAATACCAGGGTCGGGGTCAATTACTCACTGACCCCCTTATGACCGATTTCCGAATAAAATGCCTAATGTGGTTTCCTGATGTTTGTGATTTAATTTTGACCTCACTCGCTTTATATATTTTTAGTCAAAATTATTATAACGGCTCGTACATTCCAAGGTCCAAGGTGTACATTCCTCAAATATGCAATTTTTATCTTCACAAGATATTTTTCACTACGTTCAATACTACATAATTATTTTCTAGGTTTTGAATTCAAAAAGCCCTACCATATTTTTTGCTTTTGTAATATAATAATAATTGTAATATATACCCTAATAACACAATCATGTCCCATGAATATCCTTAGGACGTCCTGTCAGGACATCCAGGACATCCATAGAAAGTTCGAATTTGGTACCGTGGACGTCCATTAGACATCTGTGGGACGCACAAATGTCCAACTTGAGGACCAACTAGGGACGTCCTTGAGGGATGTCCCTGGGACAACTATATATCGGGTACCTAAATCCTACAGTATTCCTCATCAAGCACTACGGAGGACATCCTTAGGACATCCTATCAGCAACGCTGAGGAATATCAATTGGAGGTCCCAGGGATGTACGAATTATTTTTGAATTTGAATTTGTCTGGGTCCCTCTAGGACCAGATCTTGCATAATTGATGAGGACATCCAGTTGAGTTGATGGTCCGTAGAAGGCCCTCAATAGATCCTTAAGTTAACGTCCTCGCAGGGACAACATATATTGAAAGTACCAACTGGGACGTCCGTAGGACGTAATTCCTAGGACATTGGAAGAGTACAGTTCATGTACCGATTGGGACGTCCGACGGATATCCCTAAGGGACATTTTGATTGTTATACGATCCTGGAAATATTAAGGGCGTTTGTGCAGAGATATTTGAAGGAATGTACCATCAGGGACAATTTATGGTTGTCTAGAAGGAACATTATATAAGATCTGAAGTCATGCCAGAATATGTACTACTCGGGACATCCGATGGATTTCCCTGAAGGAACGTTTAAAATCATATCCCATCAGAGACATGCCAAGGACGCCCTTGCATGGACATTCTACAATATGTACCACGTGGGACGTCTAAGAGATGCTATTTCTAGAACATTTGAAATGATGTACCAGCTGGGACATTCCGCGGGACGTCCTTGCACTCGGACATTGCATGAGATGCAATGGACTTGAATTGTACCAAATAGGGAGGTCTCTAGAACGTTGTATGATATTAGGGTATATACCCGATGCTTAAGCAACATCCTCACAAGAAGAAATAATTCGAAAATATAATGAATACTATTAGCAAAAATGTCATTGAATGTTATAGTAGAGTACTCTAATTTCTAAAAAGTTATTATTTACCAAATGGGCTGTCCAGCTTATGAGCGTGGGAAGCGATATCTTCCAGTGCGGTTTTGAATTCTTCACTGTCTTTAGTACCCATTAATTTTGTTGAAGATTTTGGTCACTTGAATTTAACTTTCTTTTTGTAATAATGTGTCACTTTGACATGACGGTTTTGTGACGGTAAATAAGTGATTTCATGGCGATCTGACTCCATTGAATATAGAGGAGAAAGGAAGGAGAATTTACAATCGGAACATACAGTGTGTTGTACCTAAGATGAAGACCCTTATATTTGTATAGATTTAAGGACACATTGATGATGAATTACATCTTTCTAGATACTCATTCCTGTCGATGCACATATCGCAAATTTATTAATAAATTAACAGTAGAGTATATGCATGGAAGCTGAAACGGTAGTGAATCAAATGTCACTGAAAATAGTATATTGTTTAACGAAACGATTATGAAGTTTGCAGCATGAGCCGTAGGTGGGAAATTAGCATTCCTATACTTTTTCTACGGCTGTAACAGATAACAGCGACATTTTTGATTTCTTCGGCTCGTAGCAATCTAATTTTTTCTCAAGTAATGCTCATCTATTAGACAGAGCTGTTTGTGAAATAATACAATATGAAGGCATTGTGATATCAGATACGCAAATAAAATTGATGACATACGAAAGTACCTCATTGATTTATCGAACACAGTAAAACAAGAGCAATTTTATGTTATAGCCGTAGGTAAATAGTTATTTATACACCAAGGTAGTAAAGAATATCATTATTACCCAGGGACCAAGATTATATCCCGAGGCTGCAGCCGAGGAGTATAAAAGGTCCCGTGTTTATAATATTCTTTACTACCAAAGTGTATATCAAAATTCTCAATTTTTTTTTTATTTCTGCTCCTCGACTACAAATAAAAGTAATATTATTTTCTCAGTATGGGTGACATTGAAATAAATACAAATATTCCAAACCCTAAGAAACCCCGACGTATCCCTGCCAAAAATGTCTCATAGAAACTTATAAAAAAATATATATGAGAATTAATGAGAATGAAGTTGGATAGTGAAACAGTAATTCCGTATAATCCTATGTATTTTGCAGATCCATATATAATCAGTTTCTAATGGCGATTCTCTCCCTTCTTCTTAAGAGAATGAACTGTTTTTCGCAGATATATTCATAATCAGTTCCTACTAGTAATTCCTGGTTATTTACATATGAGAATATATCAGAGTCAAGTTGGATAGTGAAACAGTAATTTATGAGCTCGAAATGTATTCTGCAGTTACATTTATAATCAGTTCCTAATGGCAATCCTCAATGGAGTCGATGAGTTTGAACTGTAATTCACAGATACATTCATTATCGGTTCTAAATGGCAATTCCTTATTAAAACATCGTGATTCATGATTTTGAAATGTGTTCTGCATGTACATTCATGACCGGTTCCTAATAGCAATTTCCAACGAAGTCTTTGAGTATGAACTATGTTTTACAGATACATTTAGAATCAGATTTTGATGGCAATTTCTCATTGAAACACTGTGGCATTCATGAGAATGGAATGTGTTCTGCATATACATTCATGATGAGTTTCTAATAGCAACTCTATGAGTATGAACTCTGTTTTGCAGATACATTTGAAATCAGTCCCTAATTGCAATTTCTTATTAAATTAACGTGGCATTTATGAGTTTGAAATGTGTATTGCAGATATATTCATAATGAGTCCCTTATAGCAATCATCATCAGTTCCTAATTGGAATTCCCCATTGGAACACCGTAGCATTTATCAGTTCGAAATGTGTTTGACAGGTACATTCATGATGGGTTTCTATTGACAGTTCTTCATGTACTCAATGAGTATCAGCTGTGTTTCACAGATACATTTATAATCAGTTCTTAATAGCAATTCTTTTCGAAGTCTTTGAGTATGCACTCTGTTCTGCTGATACATGTATAATCAGTTCCTGATTGGAATTTCTCATTGAAATACCGTGGCATTCATGAGTTGAAAATGTGTATTGCAGATACATTTATAATGGGAATTTTTGAGTATAAACTGTTTTGCAGATACATTCACAATCAGTTCCTTATTATAATTTCTTATTGAAATACCGTGGCATTTATGAGTTTGAAATGTGTGTTGCAGATACATTCAGAATGAGTTTCTTATATCAATTCCGTATGAACTCTATTAGTATAAACTCTGTCTTGCAGAAACATCCATGATCAATTCCTAATCGGAATTCCTTATTGGAGCACAGTGGCATTTATGAGTTTGAAAAGTATCGTGCTGGTACATTCATAATCAATACCTAATAGCAATTCCTCAGGAACACTTAGAGTATAACTCTGTTTTGCAGATACACTCATCATCAGTTCCTAATTGGAATTCCTCATTGAATTACCGTGGCATTTATCAGTTTGAAATGTGTTTCACAGGAACGATCATAATGAGTTCCTATTGGCAGTTTTTCACGTACTCTATGAGTATAATCTGTGTTTCACAGATACATTTATAATCAGTTCCTAATAGCAATTTCTTTCGAAGTGTATGACAATAAACGCTCTGTTTTGCAGATACATTAATTATAATTAGTCCCTATTCGGGATTTTATTCAAATACCTTGGCATTTATGAGTTCAAAGTGTGTATTGCAGATACATTCATAGATAGCTTATTATAGCACAGTCATATGAGATCTACGAGTGAATTCTGTTTTGCAGATACATTTCATAATCAGTCACTAATCGGAATTTATCACTAGAATACCGTGGTATTTATGAGTTCAAAATGTGTATTGTAGATACATGCATTCATAATGGGTTCATCATAGCAATTCCATATGAACTCTGATTTGCAGATAGATTTATAATCAGTTCCTGATCAGAACTCCTTATCGGAATGCAGTGGCATTTATGAGTTTGAAATGTTTATTGCAGATACTTTCATAATCAGTTCCTCATAGAAATTCCATATTAACTCTATGAGTATGAACTGTGTTCTGCAGATACATTCATAATCAGTTCCTGATCAGAGTTCCTCATTGTACTACAGTGGCATTTATGGGTTTGAAATGCGTTCTGCAGGTATATTCATGATCAATTCCTGATGTATAACTCTGTTGTGCATATACACTTATCATCAGTTCCTAATTGGAAGTCTTAATTGAAACAGCGTGGCATTGATTAGTTTGAAATGAGTACAACATATCTATTCATAAAGAGTTACTATTGACAGTTCTTCAGTATTTTGTACTGAACCCCTGCTTATTTTTTCATGTATCATTCGATTTTGTTTCCAAGAACGATCTCTCATATTTTTTCTGTATAAACCAACAGAAAAACAGTTGAACTTTTGAAAGAATAGTCAGTTTTTTCATTGGCATATATAAAATTTGAAAATTTGAAGGAAGAGTATTGAAGAAAGTTTCTTGGATAAATAAAATTGACAATACATAAAAAAGTTGAGTAGGGGTTCTGAATATTCGTGAATACCCTGTACAGGCTGTCCCATTTTCGATGTCATAACGGGATAGGTATCTCATTTATTTTCTAAAATAGAGATTTTCCATTTTCGCAAACGTGGGCTTCTTTTTAGTGAAACTCACGATACCCTTAACCAAGTTTTTGTAGCCCGCTGCCTTTTTGAGATACAGGGCGAATTTGAAAATGCTGCATTTCGGGACCTTTCTTGTATCTCAACCATCTCCCAATTCATCGAAAAAGTCGAAAGTGTTTGTCATACATTTTTTCACGTAGAATCCAGTGGCGTAATCAGAATTTCAGAATAAGCTGCTATTATCCAGATATAATCAATCCAAAGTTATGTTTTTTCAAATGGAACATCACGCATATTTTTCCTCATTTGAAACATTGATGCTTTTCGCTTTTCAAAAATATACAACTTATGAGATATTTCTAGTCTTAGCCCAACATTCTGATAAATTCTAGTTTCTCAGTAGACTTTTCATCGATTGAACTTGTAAATATCTGGCAACATTGTCCATATCATAAATTTTCATATTTGCCTTGTTGCTGATACAGTGTTTCGTCACACACTAGATTCAATTTTTACCAACAATAAACATTCACCAATATTCAGCAGTATTTATTGAATATAAAAGCTGTGGACCTAACGAGTAGGTGACTATAAAAAAAAGCGAGTGGAGAATGTTTTATAATATTTGTCACATACCTCTGTAGAATTTACAATATTTTCATACAGCGGCGAATAATAATCCAGGATATCAGAACCACAAAAATTTGAAACCAACTCATTTTATATCACAACCATTTCTAATTTTCGTATCCTGGATTAGTATTCGCTCTCGTATGAAAAATTCGTGAATTCGACAGGGAGGTGGCAAGGATTTAAAAACATTCTACACTCGCTCTGTTTTTATAGCCAGCTACTAATGAGGTCCACATCTTTTAGAGACAATAAATATTGCTGAATATTGGTAGATCTTTAATGTTGGTGGAATTGAAACTAGTGTATGAGAAAACATTGTGTCGGCAGTAAGGTCAATATGAAAATTTGTGATATGGACAATGCATGGTGCCACATATTCACAAGGCCCATCGATGAAAAATCTACTGAAAAACTAGACATTTTTTAAATTCATGCCTTCTACTATATATACAGTGAGGACGTAAAAAGTCCTCCTCCCCCTTTAACCTTTGAACGGAACAAGCTAGCGAGGTCGGGTAAAATCCAGGCAAAAAGGTACTTCTTTCACTACTATTTGGCATGAAAATGGTTGTGGTCACGTGACATAGTGTCAAGTGGGCACCATCAACTTTTTTTTTTAATGTGAAGAGGGGTCACGTGGTACCTTGTTTTGAAGGCCTTTCGATTCTCTATCCAACTCTGCATTGTGTGTGAAAATCAGTCGAACCGTTTCAAAATGACAAGCGTTTGAAATGTACCTGGGAAACAGTAAATCACGTTCGGATTGAATTCCAAAACCGATTTTTCAGTGTCAATAAGTGAACGATGAACATTTCGAGCATGTTTGAGCACTTGTTACAATTCCTACTTGAAATCATGTTGCAATTAAAATTTATTCAGATTTTTTATGCATTAATATTAATATTTGAAGCAAATTTCAAACGCTTGTCATTTTGAAACGGCTTGGCCGATTTGTACAAACGAAGCGGTGTTGGATAG